GTTGGCGTTGGGTTTGTTTTTTACTCTTATCCCCCGGCGCTCGCTGTGTGAAGCAAATCCCTTGGAGGTGGGGGAGAAGTGGCTTCCGTGACAGCGGAGGGAGGAGGGAAATAAAATAAAATAAAACAAACCAAAATAAAAAGAGAGAAGAGCCAAGAAAGCACTTGCTTCTCATCATCTCTCAGGGAGAAACGCCAACTCTGTTCTTCTTATGACCCTCTGCTGCAAGGAGCAAAGGGAAAGAAGGCACTGGGGTAGACCTCCTAACAAAGCAGGGTTCACGCTGCCCGGACCCCATCGCTACCCCGTTTAGCTGCAGGCTGCGGGAGGTGCGAGGAGGGTAGGGAAGGTTGCCAGGGGGAACCCAGGCAAAGCCAAAACGAAGCTCCACCAAAAGCAAGGAGCAGAAATGAAAGTTTCGAAATAGCATCCAAACAACCGCAAAGGACCGGACCAAAGAGAGCTCTCCGCGTCGCATCAGCCCTCGATGGTGCATTCCAGGGGCTGCATCAGGGATGTGAACGTCCCCAGCCCGCTGCATGGAGAGGGGTAAAGACACAGAAAATCCTTGTTATTTATTTATTTATTGGAAGCAATGTATGGGTGACACCCAGAAGGCATCTGAGCCCTGAAAAAAAAAAACCAAACACCTCTGGACCCAAACGAGAACAAGAAGAATGAGACAGCAGCCTTGACCCCTGCACTGAGAGGAAGGTGAGCAGAAAGAAAGAAAATACAGAAAAGCCATGCAAGCACCAAACCTGTAGATTACTGCAGCTCCTTTTTGCTTCACTGAGGACAGATATTTTACTGACAGCCATGCAGCATAAAGGCATCATGCTGATTGTGTTCTTGGAATATTTTATTTCTGGCCATGGGGAAGCAGGTAAGCAAAATAAATCAATATTGCCATTCATGAAACAATTTATCCTAAGTTTAGCAAGGGGAAAGGGGATAGAAATCAGGTCTGTTTGTTAAAAAAAAAGTATGTCAACATCTTTATGTTAGATTGCATTTTTATAAGGAATCTGGGTTAGTCAATATATACAAATGTTTCTTATTCCCTGCAATTCACAGCTTTATAGCTCAGCCTCCTCCCAAAGACTTATAATAGGATGTACAGTTTCATACATCCTTAAAAGAAAGAAGTGTATTATTTTTGTGAATGAAAGAAAAGTAAGAGAAAGAAAGAGGTAGATGAATTGAGTTATGCTGGATATTTGTTTCGAGGGTGAAACGCTGCCTTCCTAGGAAGGACAAGAGTGAAATGACAACATCCTTGGACAGCATCACTGTAGAAATTTGAATTGTTCTGTTAACTTCATTTTGCATTATTAAAAGACAGAGACGCTGTTTAGGAATTACTATTTATCCAAGACAGTCCATTCATTCAGTGTATTCCCTGACTTAACAGTTAACATGCAGTGGACAAGATTAAATTAGCATTAGAGAGAAAATGGATTAGGCAAGAAAGAGAAGTTGATCAGTTGTGTGTGTATATGTGGGTGTACAAATAAGCATATATAGGAATGATACAGCTGTAATGGTATTTACATAGGGTCCTAAACATACCTGGATTATGATGGAGACAAATTCCTTAAGGGAAAGGAAGCAAAGCATTAGATTGTTTTCCTCTTGCTGTGGTTTAATACATCTTTAAGTTTAAAAGGGATGAATTATGTAGATCAGGTCAGAAAAACCAACATTGTATATCATACAGCCATGCATTGATAAAACAACAATACATCCTTGGTTACTTTTCCTTTGAGATACTGGCTTGGGATCTCTCTTTCTGTACAGGAAAGTATACCAGTGGTTTAAATTTCACCTGCGTGCTCAGAGTATTAGGACAGGAACAACACTCTACATGCAGTGATTTGAAAGCGACCAAAGTGTTCAGCTACCCTGCAAGCTCCAGTAAAGTCAAAGGCAGATCAGGTGGCTTCAGCTCAGATTATTCCCCAGCTAGAACCTTTTTGATAACCTAGACATCAGATTTCCATAACTGCAAGAGTTATTTTCTTAAAAACTGAAAACAGCTCATGAATTTACAATCCTGTCATTATCCAGTGGCTCATTTGGGAGAAAGGCTGGCTATCACAACCTTACAGGGAATGAGTGGAGGGAGGACATGGTACCTTAG